CTCACAGATGGCGGTGAGTTCAGCCTTAGGCGCCGGCCGCCCTTTACGCCGTTAGGAAGATTCCTGGTACTCATTTCCGTTAGAGATTGAGTGGAACCCGGGGTCATAGTGCGGCTGGAATCATTAGATCAACTGACAAATCCACTAAACTCATGGGGAATCGAACCCGCGACCTTCCAGCTTGTAGCTTACTGCTTCAAGTAACTACGCTACTGAGTGCCCCGTGAAATGTTGAAAAAATAAAAATAAAATTGTTCGATAGAAAACAAGAATTGGACAAACTGACACAATGAAGAGTACGTTTAATTTTCAGTGGTGCTTACCCTACATTAAGTCATCCTGCGAAGGAGTTCTGTTACTTACGTTTTTTTTTTAATTCACCCCTACTGTATCTTCCAAAGGAATGAGCCTGCGTCTTTGTCAGGTAGTGACAGAGACGGATTTGATCAACGCGTTGCCAGGCAACAGCTCTGTTATCACGGTCCAACACGCAAGAATATATGGCATTGTGTTTTCTATGTAGTCCGCGCCACGCCCAGGGCCGGCAACGGACCAATGAACTCGCAATTTAACACATGTTTTCTGTGTGGTCTGCGCCATGCAACAATAGAGGCGCTATGCTTTCTGTGTATAGTCCGTGCCGAGAGGATATAAGAAAATACGGGAATGGGAATTGACTTACGCCCGTGTGGAGGCGGGATCGAATGCCTCCACCGTGACCCTGCGAGTCGTAGGAGGCGACGAAAAGGGAAGTCTCAAATCTGAGACAGTAATATATGGTCGCGAGTCCTAAGGGACTCGGACCTGAGAAAAACTGCGCTGGCAAGAACCAGCAGCATATACAAAAGACAGGCCCGTCCTCTCGTCAGAGAGGGCGCCCCACAAAAAACGAGACCTAAACTCTCAAACAGTAATAAATATCTGGTCATAAGCCCCAAATTGGGTTCAACACCAAGACTTACTGACTGACTGACCGTCAGTTGCAATATGACTTTGACTCTGACTTGGAATTGACTTCACTTGAGTTCCTAAGTTCCAAGGGAACAGCAGTGTGGCCAGAAGAAGAATTAGAAGGCTTAATGTGTGATGTTACATGTGCTGTAGTACATCGATTGGGAGTGTGTAATTTAGTTGAATTTTATAGTTCCTAAGTTATAAATCCGTTGCCAGGTAACCGACAGTGAAGTCTTGTGGAAATAGACTGAAGGGATTAGTGTGGAGTGATTTGTAGTGTGCAAAGCAGCAATAGTGTAATAATTATTTGTAGTTACGATCTGTAGGTGATTAATAAATGCAATTACCAATCCGAACCCCGTCTTTAGTCACTGATACACGTGACAATACGTATGTGAAAAATTCAGACATGCTTGCCCAGGTACTTACTTCCGTAAGTTTGCTTACACAAGAGATAACGTATCTTGATTCGTAGAGTAGAATGAGTTTATAAGTCTACACACTGCGCACTATGCTACAAGCCGGAAGGTCGCCGGTTAAGTCCCGATGAGGTCATTGAATTTTTTTCAATTGACCTAATCCTTCCAGCCGCACTATGGCCCTGAGGTCGACTCAGCCTCTGTATAGTTTATCTGGCACTCGGCTTCTGACGCTTCCGCCAAGTCCGCCTGTTCACGTCGGCTTCCTACACTCACAGCTTTGGAATGACGCACCGATTAACTCCGCGGAGCACAGCTTAGATAGTCAAGAAATTCCCCACTTCTTGCTCAACCTCGTGATTCATTTTCGCGCTCACTCGTCACATGACCTTTTTCCCAGTCAACTGAATGCGGTCCACGCTCTCAGAACCCTTCTCGGCAAGTTCTTGGAGAGTGTGCTGTATTCATGGGCACTACAAGCCCCTCCATCTCATCATCCTCTTATTTGGGGGCACGCGATAGCGTAGATGCTTGAGGCACCTTGCTACAAGCATGATGGTCGCGGGCTCAATTCCAACGAGGTCACTGGATTTTTAAATTGACCCAATCGATCCAGCGGCATTATGGCCCTGAGGTCGACTCAGACTCTGACAGAAATAAGTAGCACGAATCTTTCTGGGGGGTAAAGGTCGGCTGGCGCGTAAGGCTGACAACATCACTGCCATCTGTGGTCTGATTGTCTAGAAAAATATGGGAGTCTCAACGTCTCACAACCCTATGGGCCCCCAAGGCCTGTTACAGGGATAGCTTTTACCTTTTATTTACTCTTCTCTAGTCGAAATACTGTCCTGAGCATTTCGCTTTCAAACACTCTGTTCTGTCCATAGGGCGACAGACCAAAGTGGAACACCCATATAGAACTGCAGGAAAGAAAATTGTAGTTTTATACACGTTAAGCATTTGGTGATGTAACAGATAAATCACAACATCCAAATATAACTGTTGTTCGATCTCTCAGAGGATATGACACTTGTACTGATCACTGTCCGATAGTTGGAAAAGTTATGGAGACACTTGAGTAAGATGGTTCTTAACAAAAAAAAAACTCCGTGTCCTGTAGTCCGCAAGCGAACTATACCGACCCAGCGACCGCCGCTTGTCGACGTTGTTAGTGCCAACTTTAGCGGATAGAGGGTGTCACGTGGTCAGCGCAACCAATCCCCACGGCCTTTCATTTCGGTTTTCTAGACCGGAGCCGCTATTTCCTTGAAATAGTTCCTCAATTATCCTCACGAGGCTGAGTGGATTCTCAGAGAATCTGGTAGTGCCGGGAATCGAACCCGGATCTCTGGATCTGTAGCCAGGAACTATGACCACTAGACCACAGAGGCGGTCGAGTCTTAAGAAAGTCAGGTTAAAATCCGAAAATGGACTTGGATGATAATACTCATATGAAACCAAGAGGACTTAGGGAAGTACTACATAGAATATCAGATCTGTAGCCGAAACAAGTCTAGGTCATGTTCTCTTCTTCTGTAGATTCAAGGATGACGTCATGACCTGTACCGAGACCAAAGGAATTTTTGTGTCCATCTTATTCTTTGAAGTTCAACGTCTCGCGTTTCAGTGCAGCAATAACAATATGCTTAAATGGAAAACGTTCAGGAGTCATCCTTTTTAAATGAACATTCCGTTTTATTTGACATTCTTGTATCTGTTTCAACTTTCGTTCTGTTCTTAATTGCTTTGTTACTTCTCACTTTGTCCCTCAGTGAGACACGTACGTAAGAGCGGTCGTAGAAATCTCATTGCAGGCGCTTCTGATCTGTCTTCTTTTAGTATCCACAGTTAACAATGACACTGTAGGGCTGGTTTCGGAATCACGTTGTGTATTCTTAATTCTAGCTCCTACTTTATGTGCTTCCCAAAATATTTTTTTCATACATCCATCTAATCGTACCGTTCAGAAGACATCACAGTTTCTAACAATTTTAGATCAGAATAGGACACTGGAAATATGTTTATTTTGAGGGATGAATTGGGGAGGGGGCTCCTGGTTCATGTGGACCCAAATTGTTATAGATTAATCACATCAAATGCAAGGATAATAATTATTTATTGTGTACTTTCCTACAAGGCAAGCAGGTCTGGAGCTGCCCCGGTAGGAAGAACAAAGAATAAATAGAACGAAATAAGTCAATAAATAAAGAGAGAAATTAATCGAGACGGGAAAGAAGAGACAAAGAATAACAACGAAATGAAAAGGAAATCTCAACAAGAATACAACTGACTCTGCCATTTAAATACTGACGTGGCACTCGCATCCAGGTGGTTCACCCTTTCGTTCCTCCCACTACACGGTCACGTTCTTATCGGTAAGTGCGTCAGGCAGCCATGCCGCTGTTACAATCTCTGACGTAGCTAAACCGAGGTCTGAGCTGTTGCTTCCCCCCTCACGTCCCACCGTCATGCCCTAGAGCTGTAATTATGGCTAACGTCACCTGTAAATTGGCGTAATCACGAAAGATTTAAGGTTCTTACAGCAGTGATTATGAGGAGTGGTAGGCGACGCCATGTAATCTGGTGTAAGGGTACCGACGTTTCGAAGGAACGTACTGCCTCCATTTTCAGGGTCATAGAATAAGCCCAGCAAGCAGGAAGAAATAATAATAATAACACAGTATATATATATATATCCGTGGCCGGTCACGGTGGCCGAGCGGTCTAAAGCATGTACTGTCTTCGCTCGCTCGGAAACCGCGATCGTGGGTTCGAATCCCACTCAGGGCATGGATATTTAGTTTGTGTGTGTGTGCGTTTTTCTGTGTGTGTACCGGTAGAGGCCTTGCGACGAGCTGATCACCCGCCCAAGGAGTCCTACCGAATGTGTTAGATCTAAAAAAACCGAAGTGACCGTTGAAGTTCATGGAGGTAGGCCTAGGCCCACTGGGGCTGTAGTGCCAAGGGGGGGGGGGAATATATCTCCGTACCGTTTCTTAAGCCTGTCACATTAAATTAGTTTCATCACTAAATTAACTCCAAGGCCACATCACGAAGACAGCGTTTGGAAAATACCGTATGTGTACTATACTAAAAGACGGAGTTTGTCTTTCGATTCTTGCTACTTCGGTCAACGCATCTGAATAATTTCTGCAAAAGTTTGACGACTGAGACTTTGTCCGTGTGGCTTCATTAACATAAATACCATGAAAGACACAGGGGAAGTGGTGGTATAGCTCCAAGCATTCGTAGCATGGAGGCGAATGGTCAGCTTCAAGCTCCGTCCCCTTCACACCCCAGGCAAGAGGCCACCGGTACTATCGATTTTTGGTTGTCCAGCCTAGGCACTTTCCCTGCTGAACTATCCCAGCTCCATGCATATACGTAGGTAACATAAAAATAGATGTCTATATTTATGATTTAATGCATGGAAATTTGCCAAAAATATACAACCATAAAAAAGAAAATGATGAGCAGATGTTGGCTCTTTATCATTCTTATTGCATTCCGGAAATTTCGCTTACGCCTTCTTCATATTTTATCCCCCCCTGGTACCACCCCCCTTGAATCTATATGATCGGAGGGGTATCGTGCGAGTCGCTGGTAAGCACGGCTACGTGCTGCGTGGGCTATCCTTTGTTGTAGTGAGGGAGCTGTAAACACTCCGCGATCAGCACTGCGAACCGTGCATTGTCAGTAGAGTACAATAGCAGTGTATTACGTGCGCTGAAAATGACGTCAAGTACCGACAAAAAAAGCAAACGCCTGCGCTCTTTGGATGTGTCAGAGGAAGTGCGAGATTGGGAACGATGTACAGTTGATGAATACCGGCTACTTATATGGTAGATGCTCGTGAAACTACCCGCAGAATGTAGATCGCTGTGTAGGGGTACAGATGCGCAGCGAAGGAACAAACGTGCTTCTGCAGTTAGTGACAGTGGTGATAATTACTATCGAGGATCTCAGCCGTCATTCACTTTAGAAGGAACACGTATATACCTACAACAGCGGTTCGCTTTCGTGCCATCAAGTCAAGAAATATCGCATGTAAGAAGTCAAAATAAAACGTATTCTTGTTTCGCATACGAAGTTTTAGAGGAACGGAAGAGGAAGACAAAAACAGATACTAAAAGAATCAGTGGTGGTGTTAGAAGAACTTCAGTTAATCGCCGACTAGAACAACAAAAGCCTTCCACTAAAGTTGTGTACAAGAAGAGAACCAAATCGAAAAATCGCAGTGTCGCCACACGACAGCCGTTGGTGATGTGTACAATGAATTTGCCTGGTAAACATGTTCCTCAAGAAAAAGCCACACAAATGTTTCCATCGACCGAGGAAGCCAAACAAATGTTACGAAGGCTTCTCGCGTCTACGAATCACGAATGTACTCGTATGATGGCTGAGTCGGTCAGTGCAGACGATGCCAGGCAGAGGCAAGACAACCGAACTGAATTGTTGGATAAACCGGACTACTTGGAAGACACATATGATTATCTGTTTCACAGGCATGTGCAGACGTTGAATGGCGTAATCCAACGGCAAGAACAGCAAGAAGCCGATGAAGCACGTGGAATATATCAACAAAAACACAGCACGCAAGTCATACAGCTTTGTTGTGGTGATAGTCGCGACTGTGATGAAACTTCCATAAGCATCGATTCTACGGAATTATCAAGTCGTCACAATTCCAGTACCGTCTCTCAAAATCCGGCCGTCTGCAGCGCAACTGGGAACAGCAGTCAGGATAGTGACAAAAATGATGTCTTGGCTAGACAAACTTCTTGCAATGAAAACAAAAACAAAGAAGTGAAGGGCCGATGTAAGAATGGTGAACTAACGGGAATGAGTGTTGATAACCAGATAGAAAGCTGTCACGACACACAGAAGAGAACAAATAGTGATGGTAGCGTAAATATAAACATAGTAACCAATAAAATTAATGCATTGGAACTTCAAGTTGTCAGAGTACCACAAAAGCCAGTAATAACATTCAACCATGTGTCTGAAACAAATGAATGTAGCAGCTCTTTCAATGAATCTGAATCACCTAATTTAAAACTGACTAAGTCAACTTCAGTGTCATCCACACTTCGTTCAAGTAGTTCCAGTCCACTGCTAGAAGTTCCAGCTTCATTTGAAGACCTCACCTCGGAGATGATGAGGCCCCCAATAAATTAGTGCATGATGGCGACATGAATCAGATCTATGACATCAACGGAAAGAAAACTAACGGCCGAGAGCACAATCGGTAAGAAGGTACGCTAACATAGTAAATATTTTGAGAGCTCCCACCCCACCCAATGCTTTGTACGCTACAACAGCAATAACTACTTCTACAACCAGATGTCTTGTACTGCAGAGGTCCCCCCCCCCAACATATTTCTATTTTTGAACTGTATTCAATATCACTAGTAAAGGAGATGAGTTTGGCAGGGCATGTAGCACGAGCATGTAGACGAGGAATACATATAGGATATTGGTGAGAAAGCCAGAAAGAAAGAGACTACTGGGAAGAACAAGGTGTAGGTGGGTGGACAATATTAAAATGGATCTAAGAGAGATAGGATGGTATCGTATGGATTGGATTGATCTGGCTCAGGATAGGAACCAGTGGAGGGCTCTTGTTAACACAGTAATGAACTTTCGGGTTCCATAAAAGTGTGGAACCGTCACTCGTAAATTTACTTTGAAACGAAGCAAGAAATAAAGAGGAATACTGTAAAGGTAGAAACGAAGTGGTAGGATATGTGGAAGACGAAGGTGAATAGATGTCATAACAATGGTGGTCCTTTGCTAACGGACCGGTTATGCTTTAGATGTTACGTGGTGCGAAGACATGAATATTTTTGTGAGAAGAAACCTTAAGAAATTTGTGCATGTACTAAACAAGTGATACTATATGAGGAAGGTGGAGATATCAAATTTGTATAGATCTGATGGTACATGGATAAGACATTGGCATAGTATGGTGAATATAAGGGGTTCGAGACCGCGGTGTTTTTTGTCACTAGAAATTGAAAAGTAAAAAGGTAAATATGATTTTTCTGAAGCTATAAACCAAGTCGTATAATATAAGGACGATCGCAGACATTCACATCATACATGTTCTGGTGGTCTTGAGGTAAGACACCGGCGTTGTAAATGTAAGATTCGTGGTTCGAAAACTGAAGTATTTTTGGAATGAG